TTATTTGTAAAATTTAATTGAATATTTTAATTTATAACTTCTATTTCTGCAAAAATGATAAGTATGGAACTTTTATTTTTATAAAAATAATAAAATTTTTACAAAATAATAACTATACAAATTTTGTCTAATTTAAAAGTCAAAAAAAAATGTTGAAGAAATCAGTAATCAAAAATCGTGATTACTTTTTTTTGATAATCTTCAAATTTCACATAATTTTACAAACTACAATAATGTTAATTCTGTAATCATAAGGTCACAAAATTATGCAAACCACAATAAATTTTATTTTAAAATATACTTACAAAATATTTTTAGCAATGAATTTGAAAGACATAAATAGTTTGCTTCACTTATAATAGTTATAGTAAATAGAAAATTACAAAACTATTATATATAAGTAAAAATTCTGTAAAAAACCTGCACAAATGTGACCATATAATCAACTAATATATATATGAATTAGACTGCAATAAATTTATATATAAATCTAAGCTAACATGCCAGTAAATAGCAAAAAAAAAATTATAATATTGTTAGTTAGCCCGTCTTCTTAGCTTGTTTATTATTCCTTCATATAGTCTTACAAGACATATATCTATTAAAATTTTTGCATTTTTATGCAGCCATAGAGCTTTTTATGATACTAGCATAACTACTAAGTTTAGTAATTTTTAATTGAATATACTTTGCTTTTAGCTAAAATTGAAATCAAAAGGTCTTTGCACTATTAAAACTACTATAGAGCTCTATTTATCAATTAAAGTATTACAGTTTTGAGTTACCAAGGTGATAGTTGTTATTGATGAACTATATAAAGTCCTTGTACTATTATATAGATATGGAGCCTTGCAATGTCTAAACCAAATTATATGTTCTGAAAGCCAATTTGATTTTTACTATTTGTAATTGACCAAAATATGCTAAAGCAAAACAAAAATTATTAAGATTTGTATCAAAATCATAATAACTCTAGAATAATCACAATTACTTATCTTAAAAACACAAACCCACTTTCTTTACATATTTTTTTTTTGAAAACTTAACTCACTTCATTAATTTCTGTATATACTCAGGTGGATAAGTAAGAGAAGAGCCAGCCTAATAATGCAAAATAAGCAATATCGAAACCAAAAATATTTTACTTATTATATTATCAAAAGTAATATATATTTTTATCATTTTTACTACAATCATTACAAATATATTATTAATCTTATCTTTTCATTGATGAGCCAAACAATCTTTTTTAATTAAAATTTTTTATCATAGTTTTAAATTATAGCTTTTGACAAACTTGTATATTGTTATATGCTCAATTGTTCAATTATGTGATTGTATATAATTGTATATAATTGTATATGATTGTGCAATTTATTTTTATTGATAAATATAATAAAATAATGTTTAAAATTTGTTTTATAATAAGTGACTTCAAGATAATAAAATTGATTTTTAAGTATATCTTCATATATTTAATATTGCAAAAATAACTTTTAGTAATGATTTGAAATTATATATAATTTTTTTGCTAATGATAATTATAGTAAACAGAAAATTGCAAAACTGCTATATATAAATAAAGGTTTAGTAAAAATATGTACTTAAAATATATAACAAATAGTATTGTATAAAAAATCTGTTTAAGGAAGCTTCAGGCCAAAAAAAATTATTTAGCTATAATGATATAAAAATAAATTTATCTATTTCTTTCAATAAAATTCTGTAAAATTTATTAAATATAGTATTTAAAATTTTTTAGATTTTATAAAAATTAGTTAAAAAGATAAATTTGTATTTTGACAAGTTGCAGTATAAAATAAAAATAATAACTAGAAAGTAGATATCAATTTTAACAATATAGTCTGATGCAAAAAGATTTGTACACCAAATAAAAATTAATAAAAAAATTTTTTATATATAAACTTAATAATTTTTTTAAAAAAAATAATTTTTAGATTATAGGAAAGATAATTATAGCTTTTATTTAATTA